AATAATTCAATCTGCAGATGTGCTAAACTAATGGAAACACACACACACCTACACACACACACACACACACATGCACACACACACACACACACATTGGTGTTTGTCAGATACACTCTTAGTTGGGCTGCGGTTGCCACTTACTACATCTTGTATCCTCATGTACTGTGTACTTTCCAATGATGCTATAGCTGTTATTCTATATGTGTATGTTGTTTGGTGTTGTGGTTTCTTGGTTTTGTTTTTTCTCCTTCTGCAGGTGTAGAGTTGTGCTCTCTATATGCTTCTTTCCCTCTAAAGCTTTTCCTCGCCTTTTCCCCTTTGTTTTTCATCTTTGTATCCATTACATTTAAAATAAACAAAAAGCAATTTCAAACAAAGTTCCAGATATATACAGTATGTAAAGTGGAGCCGTAATGCTCCACTTGTGAAAGTAAATTTTTTGGGCCTCACCTTTGACACATCAATTCTGAGTGCCACAATGTTGGACACATTAAAAAGAAAAGAAAAAGAAAGTCTTGCAGTTGTAAAAGAAGCAATATAAACCCCAAAGTATTAATGCCACATATTTAAGATTACTATTCATTTAAAACCTTGAAAACCATGTTCTGTTTCCCTTCCATTTCACAATTACATAATGGTTTGTTTTGGTCTCTGGTTTTAACACGTAGAATGTTTCAGCTGTAAAGTAGGAAAATGTTTAAACGTTTGGGAGACATGAATAATTTTACAAGGCAGCGTATTGAGAGAGTGTTTAATTCAATCCCAAACAACCCATCCTCTTGTCTCCTGCTGTACGCTCCTCCAAAGGAAAGTTCATTTATTCATGAGGGTTCGGAGCGCCCACAGAGTCAAGTTTCCACTCCTACAACCCAACACCAGAAAGCTGATACACTCCTCACAATACTCCCAGTCTCATAGTAACAAGGGAGTTTCTTTACGGCTGATGCATTCCTTCACACACACACACACACAGGCAGTCTTCACGGTGGGTGTGGGCGTGTTAGAAAATTGCTATCCGGCGTTTTACCAGAAAGTGTTTAATTGTGACAACCACCTGATTGCGTTTGAGGAACCGTTTAATAAAACTACAGAAACACACCGGGTGTGTGTTGAATTTAGACTATTTGAATGAAACCAGAGCACTAGAAACAGAAAATCTTTGCACCTTTTTTCCATGTGACACCAGCTGTCTGTCACTTTAAACCTCTTTGTCTCTCACACCCGGTCAACCACGCTCAAGCCACTCAAATCAAATAAAAAAACTCCCCAAGGACAGTCCTTTCAGATAGAGGGAGGAACCAAAGAGAGGGGGAGTCCCAGCCTCTTCCTCACTGGGATGGCTACCGGCTGAGTGTAATAAAAGCCTTTGTTGTGCTCCCCCAGCTACAAGCAGCAAATTCAGCTGTGGCAGAAAATGCCTCATCAGTCATACTGGTTATGTATTGACTGCAACAGCAATGAGGCCCAGGTAGACAGCTAAAACATAAAAAAAATATGTAAATGAGCATTGAAATCATCCTGGGAGAGAAATGGGCTTCTGCCTGATCCTGGAGGGACGCAATAAAGATAAGGACTGAAATGTTGGTGGTTCTTGTTTTCCTAAAGTTGGACATGTGCTTGGATACTGTAAATAGCTGTAAATGTAAAGTGACAGGTAGCAGGATGTGTGCAGCTTGGTGAAGCGGGAAATGTCACAATTAGGAATCAGCAAGGAAACAAAATGCACTACATAGAGGGGGTTAAGAAAATACACAGACATCACAAGAAATATTAGCTTACTTACGTCTTTTACTTCAGTTTCAGCCTTTGAAACTCTGTTCTCAGCTTCCTCACAAAACTTGGTCCCTTTCAGGAGCGGCGGGTGCAGAAGCAGTCCTTCAGAAAGAGGAAATCCATTGCATTACATGTTAGTTGAAATCCCAGAGGTTTGGTTTTAAGACAGAGAGGGGTCAGAACAACTACCATGCACTGTGTGGGCAAGTACCCACCACTACATCAAGCATGGTGCCTTTTCAAATAACCTCTGCTGGTGTGGGACAAGCGAGTTTGGCAAAAGCCTGAAACGGATTTCGGATTGGAGCTGGTTGTCCTTTGAGTGAGCCATGAACAAAATGTAAATGAGACAAAATTATTTTTCTGACTGAATTTGGGGAAAAGGGAAACAGATTGACTGCTACATTGTGTAAAAACATAAAATAATGAAAACATTACTTTAAATATCAATCAAGAATTAACTTTAAAAGACATATTAACCACTATGACAAAGCTTCACTTAAAACACTTTATCCACCAAAGTGCAAACATCTCAGCTGTTTCTATTTGTTTTACTGTACTTTTATATTTATGTATATACTTACTCTTTTTTTACTGCCTTCTAGAGCAGCTATTTTTAAAATCTTATTGTTCTTTTTTGTGCAATGACAATAAAGCAATCTTAATTATAATTCTAACCTCTTGCTTACATCTGTGTATTATAGTTAAATACAGCTTAATTACAATATCTAGCTCTTTTTTAATTTATTTAATTGTTTTTCTGTTTATTTATTTGTTAGCCTTCTTAAACTGGGACTTGAGTTCAAATTTCATACCATTTACATATAAATGTGAACTGGTCTTACGATTTAATTAATAAAATGAAAATAATTTTGTATAGCTGCATTTAAAACTTGGAGGTCAAACTTGAACATTTCAGAAGAATAACAAATTCTTATTTTTGGAGCAGAAATGTAAAGTTAAATCAATTAAAAGACTGCTGACCAGACAGTTTCCCAGTAGACAGTCGCTATCACCCTTACAAGGAGGGTAAGTCACAAAAACTGACTGCTAGTAAAGATGACAGGAAAAAGTGCACAAACTACAACATTTGAAGGAATGTAAAGTGAATCTCTCTCAAGAGTTTGGCTGAGATTCACAGAAACTACAGACGGACTCAAGCTGACTTATCCAGGACATGGACTACGATTGCTGCATTCCTTCTATTAAACCAATCTTGAATCAGAGACAAAGGACAGCACTGTTGTTCAATGGTCTAAAGTCCTCTTCACAATTCAAACCAATTTTGCATTTAATGTGGAAATTAGAGTCACTGAGTCTGGAGGAAGAGTGGAGAGGGTCAGAATCCACGATGCACGAGGTCAAGTGTGACATTTTAGCAGGCAGAGATGATTTGAGGAGCCATTTTATCCGCTGGTATTAGTCCACTCACTGTGTTTTATCGAGTACAGCAGTCTATTCACTTCATGCCTCACGGTGGCAAACTTTGTAGAGATGCTGATTTCATTTTGCACCAGGACCTGAAATCCGACGACACCGTAAACGATTAAAATGCACCCTCACTTAGATGCAGCTTTTGTTTCGGTTGATAGGCTTGTACTGCACAGTCAAGAAGACAGAATTGGCCGATATTGAAGTCCAAATTTGTCCTGGAAGAAGGGGGAGAAACACAATCATCTATAAACTCTACAAACTATGTATAATTCTGATCAAAAGAGGATTAATGACAACTGTATGGCCATATTTGGTTAGCACAAAAACAGCAGCAAAGAGCTATTGTTAAGAAACTTCTTTTCAATTAGAAAGTAAACATTTGTAAATCATAAAATCCTCCTTATTGGTTTAAATCATCTAAAACTGTTAAGTTTGTAAGAAATGTAATTGTGGGTTTTCATTTGGTATAATCCATAATCATCTAAATTATTGGAAATAAATAAGTGAAATACATCATTCTGCCTGTAATGAAACCCCATAATGCCTGAGTTCCCCTTTTGAATTGAATTGTAGAAACACATTTATTTTTTTATGACATTCTAAGTCGGCGAGATGAGTCGTAACACAAGTGAGCAGTCAGCACAATGATTCCAACAATTGGTCTCTACAGACATTACCAGATTAAAAAAACCAAAAACACAACATACACCATATCAACTGTTGTTGTTGTTCTGTAAGGATCAGTACAGTGAACGGCATCTATAAACTCTACTGTTAAAAACTTTCCTCTTCCTTCTCCGTCTGAGCCGTGATTTCCCTCCTGCTCCTCACTTCGCTGACAGTTCAAAGTCTCCCATCAGCCCCCCGAATGCACCTTACAATTTAAAACCTGCCCACCAATCACAACGCTCTTTGGCAGCAACAGTCCCCGGTGACATTTGCACAACAAAAGAGGCGACAAGCTGATTCATCGTCACCCCTCCCTCTGTTTTTCTCCCCCATCCCACTCTCCTCACTCCCCCCCCAACTCTACTTGGTTCCCTTTCCCCTTCCCTCTGTGACTCCTCCTCTCCCGCTTTTGTGTTTGGATCCAAAATCCCCTTCCACGGCTCTGACCCTCCTCCCTTCTGCACTAATCTCCCCATGTCCCTCTGGATGGAGCGCTACGGCGCTAACTCTCACTGCACCAAGGACCCCCGCACCCCACGGGGCATGCTGCAGTTTGGCCTCATTTACAGACCTCCCTCCTTTGCTAAGAAATAAATGGAGTATGACTCTGGCAGAAAGCTTGTATGTTGATCTGGAACATGAGCAAGCCACAATCACAACTGTGAACAGATGGTATACGTGCGAGTCAGAGCGCAGGTGCCTTATTGGAATAAAATAAGTAGCTAAAACTGCAGTTTATTACTCTGTGGGACTTTTGTATTAATTTCCAATTATAAAATAAATATATTTATAATTGGAAAGGGAGGTTATGGCCCATTTATTTCCACTTTCAAGCTTAAACGTCGCAAAAGACTTGGTAAAACTGCACACAAAAGGAACAACTTTTTAAATGCTCCTTACATGGTGCATATTGGGATCCCATGGGGGATCTGAGAGGAACCAATATAGAGTTTAGCCTTTAGGGCGCTTTGTGTTTCACGTTTAGTGCTTCCATAGCAACAGTGGACAAGTGGACCCCCGCCATCCCTCTCTATTTTGAACACCATTAAGTGATCCCACCCCAAGTGGGAAGTCCCAGTCAAACACACACACATTAACACATAGGCTTTGAAATCTTACAGGTTACAATGTTGATTTTAACAGTAATTTTAATTTATATTCCAAACACTGTTCAGCTGATTAAATGACACCAACATCTTAAACATGTGCAAGAGGAATGTAGTGTACTGACTTCTTGCCGTACAAAGGACAAAAGAAGAAAGTTTGACCCACTGTTTCCAGTTTTGTATTCACATTTTTCAAGCTTTTGCGACGTCTCTAAGCTTACTTAAGCTGTGGACAATCTCTATCAATAAAATTAATTTGCGTCCTTTGAGCAGCGGTGGCTTTCGAAATGCCCGACAACGAAGTGTTTGACTTGGATTAATGAGTCACTCAGTGCGAGTCCTTCTAAAGATCCTCCCCATCAGTCTAAGCAACGGATTGTCTTTGAGGGCTTTGGCAGCCCTCTCCCACAAGCCCTCCTTCTTCCATAGACCCCGACCCTTCTTCTCCGCCTTCACCTCTGCCCTGTGCAGCCGTCTGTGCAGGCGCCAGTAGAGGGGAGAGCCCGGCGGGAGTCCCGCGATGGGAGCACGGCGGGCCAGGCCGAGCCTTAGGAGCTCCTCGTTCATGCAGTAGCTCCACATCGACCCCTGCTGGACAGACGGAAGGAGGCTAGAAAATGACAAAACAAAAAACCCATCGAAGAAGAAAAGCTTCTTCAGTTAATGGAAGTTCTCAATGAGAACTTACAATAAGCTTAAAATGGAAAGAAAAAAAACTGCGTCTCTCCCAGTTTTGTCTGACACACTTCCGTTTGTTTTAAACTTTTAAACTGCCACTCCGATTGTAGTTTTTTTATTTTTAACAGTGGGGTTATGCTACTTCAATTAACGATTAGTTTCATTTAAATGTTTATATACACCTTCGGTGACAGGCATGAGGATGATTCGCTGCCTCACCCGGCTCTGGGACACCAGACAGTGCAGCATGTCGTCCTCTCGGCTGATGAGTTTCAGCCAAACGGTTTGAGGAGGAACCAGGTTCTTCTGCAGCCACGTCTTTCCCTCCGGCGTCAGCTCCACTCCAGCCAGATGCACCAGCAGCGGAGACGTCGACGCATCTGGGGAGAGGAGAGAAACAGCATTTATGACCCATGTCACAATAAATCACTGGTTATGCCTGAGCTGTTGTCCTTTATCCTCCACTGCATGGCCTGAAATGTTTTACGTTGGAAATAAAGTCTAGACTGTGTGCTCTCAACATTTATGGTTTAAGAGCACAATATAATGATAATGCAAGCAAAAATGGACAAAGTTTTCACGCAAAAGTGTAAGCATTGAAGAATGCTTAATGAAAGCAGATAAAACACTTTGGTAAATGTGGTTTTCTTCCTGTTGTTCTGTAAGGATACAATTCCAGCTTAATAAAAACAACGTCTTAACTTAAAAACCATTTTGTTAGCGATCTAGCACATAAAGATTCAAACAACCAAGATTTAAGCTTTTATTGAATTTCTGACTTTATAATGTCATAGAATATGCTGGTTTTAACAGTTTAGTATTGTAAATTTAAGCCGTCGGTAACAGAAAACTTAAATTTTTTTCCTCCAAATTTACGTTTTTTTCCAACATCAGAGAATATCTCATTTTTTTTCTTGTAAATATGTGAAATCGATCTAAAAATTTCTGCATTTTGTGTTCTGTATTATTGTTTTATTTTATCTACAATGGTCTACCCACTCTGTCGCATTACTGTGTTTGCATTTGCTTATTTTTATTTATCATTTTATTAGTTTTAATAAATTGATTTTACTAATGTTTTTATTAATTTTAGAAAATGTTTCTTCCACAGTAATCCTGCTTGTTCCTCCATTAGAATCAACAAACTCTAAGGTCTATCATTGCATATACTGAAGCAAATATAAATCCAGTGTAAAACAGTAGACATTACCCCGGTGCTTTAACAGTAACGGAGAGATGATTGGCAGATAAATTGGGACGTGCTCCACTTCTATTCCTCTCTCTGTGATGGAACGAACTTTTCCTCGAAGGCTGACGTTCCCTTCAATGAAACGGACCGGGATCTCAGAAGCGGCTTGAAATTTCGTGATCTGGAGAGATGAAATAAAATGGGGTGAAGACATTTAAAGGAATCCCCGGGATATGTCCTACAGTGTGTTGCAAAAGCGTTCAGACCTCATTAACTGCTTCACGTTTTATCAAGTCGCAACTCTTGCTGCAGATTGTCAATGTGGTTTAAATCTGAACTTTGACTGGGCCATTCTAATACACAGGTTTTATTTGATCTAAGCCGGTGGTGTCCAAACGTTTTGGCATGTGGGCCAAAAAATGTCATGTTATAAAACCTGACCCTAATTTGATCTGAAGACGCAGCTAACAAACCTGAGGGTCTGTTAGTTTGAAATTAACTAATGAGGTGAACTTTGAAAGCAATTGGTTGTACCATAATTTATTTAGGGGTATCAGAGTAAAGTGGTTGGGTGCTAAAGCATGACACACTTTTAGAATTTTTATCAGTAAACGAGATTTTGAAACCATATAGACCAGAGGCGTAAAACTCATTTTTATTTCAGCCCACGTACAGATCATTAATGTATGCAATTGTGGCAAAATTTGATAAAAACATCCCATTAAATTGTTAAAATGTATCTTTCTTAAAGTTAAGTACCATTGAACTTTCTTTTTAGCAATAATGTAATTTGGAAAAATACATATAAAAACTTTGAGTTGACAGATAAAATAATATTTGGGCACACAATTGTTATCTTGAAGGCTCTATTCATGTTTCTCTCAAGAGTCTCAAGTTTCTTGAGTAAATCATTTCTTTGGCTGCCTTGTTTTTTGTTTTTGTTTTTTTTTTCTCAATCAATAGAGATTCTGATAAAACACATGCAAGTTTGTAGTTATGTGGCAAAATGTGAAATTGTTCAGTGGTTGTGAATGCTTTTGCCAGTCACTGTGATCTGCTCATCCGTTTCATGCATCTCTCCCACTTAAAAATGATCCCCAAATTGAGACTTAATTGGTTATAGAGGACATAACTGGCCTACAGCTTACCACTCTGATGCTCCTTGCGATTACAATCACACCAGCAACAGCCAGACCGGTGCTAATGTTCTGTGTGAGACAGGAGAGAGCTGTGAGGGCTGTGTACAGGTGACAAAAGGGAAGGAATCTTGCACGTAGCAGAGCATGTTGTTTGGCAATGACAGCTTAAGAGCAGCACAAGCTGCTGCTGTTGCTGCTGATGATGATGATGGTGGTGGTGGTGGGGCACGCGCATACAGTGCGCTGAATCATTGACATCGTGAGGAAGTGCTTAGAGGTAATTGTAAGTGTTTTTATTCACAGAAAACCACGAATTTCTTCCCCTTTCTAAGAAAAAATGTTTCATAACAGCGCTACTTCCACTTCTCTACCCCGCTGCCTCCAAACAAACCGAAAGCAAAGCGTCCTACCCGCACAAGAGTCAAATTGTCGTCCGCTAACTGAGATATCGCTGACACTACGTTACGAGACGTCTGGTGTTCTTGGTCTCTTTGTTGTCTGTCCCTCCCTCTCTCCACGGTTTCTGTTTCTCTGGAAGTCTCCGGCATGTTGTTGACATTTTCTCGACGCATCTGATGTGCCCGCCTTTATGGGAGGGTCATTCAAAAAGAGGGCTGGCTTTGAGTCTCCGCCTTGTGGTGTAATGTGGTAATGACAGGCAGGCATCCTGAACACATCAAGTAAAAGAGATAATGAAAACATTTAACCTTTGATGCAAGACCAAGGATAACCCCAGACAGAGTTTTTTTTTTTTTCAGTGTTTCCAAAAAATATTTAGGGATTAAAACATTTTTTCAAACATTTTCTAACATGCCCCACAGCTTTCGATATATGCAACACATTGGTCAATAAGTGGCTCTTTATGGCACACCTGATTAAAATATCAGGTTGCCATAAAGTGAAAGATAAATAAATCTTTTAAAAAAAATGTTGCATATAATTTGATGCATATCATACAATTTAAGTAAAAAAAAAAATGGAGGAATGTTAAAAAAAATTTAATAAATGTAGAAAATGAACAATGATTTGTTAATTATACTTAATTGAACCAAGAAATTTCTTTCTGGTTTGAGAGGCATCTCTCAAAATTTAAATGTTTTATAATAACATTTTATTTTTAAAATGACATATCAAACAACGTTTATACCTGGAAAAATCTAGAGGAATTCAAGCTCTGTGGAAGTCAAACTCTTTTTAGAATTGCCGACCAGATTTATGCATTTTTCAACGGCTCTTTTGATGATTTTGTGAACACAAACTCCAAGTGTTCCAGATGGTAAGGGCTCTTTGGTATCACCCAAAAGTTTAGCTACCTCCACAGATCCTATCAGATTCAGTTGAGGGCTCCGATTGGGCCATGCTAAAACTTTAATATTACTTCCAGTCAGCATTTTGGTAAAATTACAAGTCGATAGACAATGATCAGTTGCAGACTCCTCCCAGCTTAAAATCAATACCTCATTCGATATCTTCAACAATTATTATATTTCTGCTAAGCCTCCCACTAAGCATGATTGGGTTTCACTGCAAAAAACACAAAATCTTGCAAAGTATATTTGTCTAGTTTCCAGTGCAAATATCTTCATACCCTTGAAATAAGATTAAACTGACCTATTACCTATATCGTATATCTTGCTTAAAAGTTACTTGGAAGTTAGTTTTGTATAATTTCAGGAGTACCAAGACTTTTGCACAAGAAACCAAACAAAAATACTTGCTAAAATTTTGTGGTTTTGGAGTATTAAAGTTAACTTTCAACACAATATTTGGTAAAACATTGCCATCTCGCAACAAGGCTACAGATTTTGTACTCATGGCATAGCGCTATGATTGTCTGACAAGTTTGACCCATATTACCTATTTCTCTCAATTACGCATCACAGGTTTGATTTTTATGGTTGTTACAGTCATCATCTGTGAAAGTGATTACATTTCTCTAAGGGTGTAGAAAACACTGAATGTCACTGAGATCAATATTGAATCTGCAAGTAACAAAAATCTACAAAGGCTTCAAAGTTCTGCGTGACAACAATGATTTTGTCACATTTATCTCAGTTGAACTCTAAAAGGAAAAACTATGGCCAGAAAGATTAGTGTCACTCCTGCTCTTAGCTGAACATGGATTTATTTTTTTAACCAGGTAAATGTTCTTCTGTGTGCAAGTGTATTGTTTTTGTCTATAGCACACACTAGGTTCTAGCATAATCAAGATTTTACTGGGATATGATTATGTGAGAATCTCATGCCAGTCCATATGTGTCTTTATGTAAGATGTTGCATTGCTTCACTCCCTCCCACTGAAAAAAAAATCAAGTTTTGTTAACTAGAACTAGAAGGAATGCTAGGACTCCATTCAGAGAAAGAGCTATTTAACCTGCAGCTACTCTTACATTTTATGCTCTTAGCAAACAAAACAGTTTCATGCATCATGTTTTTGTTACGTTGTCTGAAAATGAGAACACTAAACTCTAAAATGGTGAGTTAAAATTTAAATGGTTCAACAAATAAGCACAAAGCTTTTTAGATAGGGGCTTCAAAGGGGACCATAATTATCAGAACAGTCGGGTTTACAAATGTATCAGTCACTGTGCACTATTTGTACTCCGAAGTTGAGTAAATAAAATTCAGTGATCTCGAACAAAATTAAATCACACTGAAATCACTACTTGGTCAACTTAGAGATGTCAAAAGTCCTTTGTTTTCTTGGGGATTTTTCTTTTTTTTAGAAAAGAAACCTAAAGATATTCAAACAGGGCAGAATTTAAGCTTTTTTTTTTTTTTTTTTCAATTTGACAGTTTGCTCTGATTGTCCATTTTAGAAAATAACTTTGGAGTGTATTGAAGGCTATTGGTTTATGTTTTGTTTTAATCTAGCATTTTAGTTTGTAAATACAATGTTCAATAATAGTTAAAATGTGACCAAAATTTCTACTTGAACATTTTGATTAGACACAAAATGTGCATTCAATTTGCTGCAAGTCTTAGCAGGGAACTGCAGATATAGGTTGCGTTTTAAAAGTTTACCTCAGTTTAGTAAATGTAAACTATTGTGGCTGAGAAAGTTTCTGCAGAGAAGCAAAAATTTAAATGTGGATTTAATTTTTTCAGTTAAATTCTGAGTTTGTTTTATTAGTTCTCACTAATTGCTCAATATTTAAGTTATGTGCTCTACACTAATTATAACAATACATATATGAATGAAGTAAATAAAGAAAAATGTTTTGCTTGGAGGAAAGAAGTATTCAATCTGTTAATGACTTTATCTATTATCATTAGTGTTTACATTGCTATTTATATCATTTTCTGCATTTACATTAAATAATAAGATTTGATCTTCTAATAATTTGTTTCATTGT